GCCTGAAGTGAGTGATTTAACGCTGTTTTTGAAGCAAGCTGCAATGAGCGTTGAACAGCGTAAAAGAAAAGTGTGCGAAGCAGGAAGATTGCACAAGGGAAATGCTATTAAGAGGGCTCGAAAGGCAGAGGCTTTTCTAGCAAACTGCCAATGTTTTCTTACTGAGGTTAAAATTGCTCTCAAACATAAGTCCTCTGCATCATTGACCCCACAAATGCCTGTAACAATTCCTGAATTTCCAGAGACACAACCACTTGAGAACAAAGAGAATGTGCCCACCCCCGCTGAGGCACGCTCACTGTTGACTTCTCTCCAGTCTCAGCCTCAAATGGCACAAAAAGAGATTTCTTCAAACATGGGTTCCTTGGTGGTTGTTAAAAATGGCCTCTTGCAAACTGCCCCCTTACCTAGTAACAATGCCTCACAGAATGAGACAGCTGAATATTTAAATGAAGTAGCAGCTTGTACTACAGACCCCTTTGTTTCTAGCACAGCAGCTGCTAAAGGACTACAAACACCAGGAGCCAGTCAAGACACACACTCACAGTCCTCCTCCTGCCCTCTTTCTGAGGTCTCACCTTCTCAGTCAGACAGTGTAAACACTGTAGTTAGCGCTACAGGTGGTCCTGATGTAACTGGCTTAACCTTTGCAGCTGGTGATATGGGTTTTACTGATTTAAAGAATAGAAAATTGTCTCCAAGCGCTACTACACAGAAACTTGATCATGGAAATGTCCATGCCTGTCTTGAATCACAGTCACCCTCTAAGCCTCGGCACCAAATGCCTTTAGTAACCACTACCTCTGCTAGTGGGCGCGCTACTTTCTCTTACACCCCATTTTCTCTACAAGACACTGCCATGATTAAATCACAAATGCCTGATATTACCTCTGGGCACCCGACTCTTCCTTGCAACAGCAACAGAAATTGAACAGCTTTGTGGCACTAATGTAGATGCTGATGACCTTCCCTTACACCATGTTGTTCATCTGTTGTGGCCAGCGGTCTGTCAAAAGTACCCCATTCGCATGAAATCTACAGAGCTATGTTGCATTCCACCCAAAGAAGGTGAGAGAGGTTCAGCATATTTGGTGCGAGTCAGAGGTCTCTGGCAGGATAGAACAGGAGATGATCCTGCCAGCACAGACAGTATTGAAGTGTTGTTTAGAGGAGCAGTTGAATCCTCCCTGCCTTCTTCTGTTCAAGATGCATTAAAATCAGTTGTGGGGCTGTGTGATTTTTCTTTTACTCTGTGGTCAGCTCATATTATTCATCACATTGATAACAATTTAGAACAACAAGAGCAAGAACAGAAAGACCTGGTTAGTCTCCAGACACAAGTGGCTAAGGCACAATTGCAGGAAATGAGAGACAAAGCGAACCAGGCCATAGCCTCTGCTAACCAGATGCCCCACCAAACCCCCCGTGCCACCTCAGCAACCACAGGTCCCGCCATGTGTGCAGCACCACCCATCACCCACGTTCTATGGCCCACCCCCTTCACAAAACTACCCCCCTCTGCATGCAGGATAACAGTACAGACCTGCTTACAGCCAGAGAAAGCGTGGCCGCTTTAAGAAAAAATATGGCCCATGCGGACATGATCGCTGTTATCAGTGTGGTAGACTAAGACACTGGGCAAAGCACTGCAATGCCCGGCCAGCCCCACAATATTCATGAACAACAGGAGTTCCCCAGTATGACTATAATGTCTACCCCCCTCCACCACCTGGACAACATCAGGCACCAGGAGCAAACCAAATGCCCCAACAGGGGTGCACAGAACAGACAGCAGGGCAGCAGGATGTATTTGGTTGTTTAATGCACCTTTTACCCTTGGTTGCCACTCGCCAATAAACCCCACGGCAGAAGAAGAGGAAATGCGTCATGATGCTGTATCCGTATTAGCTTGGCTCGCCCTGCAGTAACCACAACATAATAAATTACAAATATGAACCACTATCTAACACTCCCAGAGCACATTTCAGGGCTCGCGTATCTTCCAGTCGGGCTACCAAATATAATCCAGCCCTGCCCGTCGGGCTATCTCATAGGGACAGTGTTTCCCCTACATTAATTTTTTCGTGGTGAGCCGCAACACCAAAAATCATCCCCGCGACTGCAGATTCTCAATGACACGGTCGAGTAAAACGTAGTGGAGGAGACAAGGTGGTAGTGAAGCAGCGTCACGTCTTTAGTACAGAGAGGACACAGTCAGTCACACAGCGTCTGTCGCGGTTCAGAACACTATTCAAAATCCCGTCCCTTCTCTCCCGTAATATTCCGTTAAATTACACTATATTTGTTTAAATTGCTGTTAACATACATGGTGATTAGATTAGTTTGGACTACTGAACTGAACACGTCTGTTACCGGAGTAAAGGATTTAACGGTATATTTTCAGCCTGTGTGTGTGTGCATGGGAAGTGTGAATGTGCAATCGCTTTTTTTACTTTAAATTTCAGCGGCAGATCTGCGTGATGTTGGCCCCCCATCCGCAGATCAGCGGCAGTGCTGTATTTACAAGATTTGTCACTGACGCTCTGCGACGTAATCCTGCCAGTCATAATTATCACGTGATAAGTGAAATCTCGCGCAGCCAGTTTAAACGTGAGAGAGACTGCATGCCTAGTGGAGAGACCTGTGGAAATCACCAACAGTTATGTGTGTGTGAGGAGAGAAGAGAAGAGGAGCATGGATTTACGCAGGTATTTCAGTTCTGCTGAGCCAAAAACGACAGTTCAGGAGGACGAAGGGCCAGCTAAAGAAAAACAGACTACCAAAAAACGGAAAACTCCTGAAAAATCAGAGTGTGAGGCGAAAAGAAAACGCAGCTTTTTGGTTTCATGGACAAAAGAATTTCTGTGGCTGGAACATGACAAGCATAATGACATAATGTTCTGCAAAGTGTGTCGTCAGTTTCCATTGATTTCTGACTCCACAAGTGCTTTTGT